ACTAGTGTGACGCCTGCCTGCCGTAGGAGCATGGTTGCCTCCGTGGTACCTGAGCGAGCAACAAGTGGGGGACGCTGGCCGCCCCTGCTCCCTGCAGCTTTGGGGATTAGTCGGGCGTCACCGTCCGAAGTCGACTTACACCGTCATGTCACGTCTTGCTTTATGTCGCAATGTGTCACATGAAATCATACTGAAATCTTCTCCGGATACAGCTTTGATGGCGGGAACCGTTTTAGGAAATCACACTGTTCTAAGCACAAGGTTTGACAGTGCCGCCAAAGACATGCGATTGAGTGAGACTGACCAAATGTTCTGTTGCTGTCTCAAACCCTAGATTGATCGTTTCCGCCTCTCCCTAGATCATCTACATGTCGGATATTTACAAGTCATCAAAAACAACCCCATCGCTCTTGTGTTCGAGAGCGGCAAAGTCGGTGAAGCCCAGCTCGTACACGAGGCCGAGCGTCATCTTGGCGTGCTGTAGCATGTGGTCGAACGATAGGTACTTGATCAGGTCATCGGTCGAGTGAATGTGGTTGTCCGAGTCCTCAAAGGAGCTCTCAATGACAAAGGCCGACGGGTAGCCGGCCTTGCTTGCGGACGCGTGGTCCGAGCATGCATATCCGCACTTGGTCTCGACGTAGGGAATGTCGCAGTACTTAGGAGCCCGAGTCAGCGGCCATCGAGATATCGGGACCCGAAGGGAGTCGGAAGCTTACCTCAACAATGACCTTCTTGATAAAGTCGGTCAGGCCAGTGTTTACGTAGTCAGTGATGACACCGACGCTCTCGGGACGGCCAGCATCAATAGTCCTCTGCACGAATCCAGTCATGTCCTGCTGCAGCATGGCCTTGACGTCGCGGTCGTCCTTCTCATACTGCGAGAAGATGGCCTGGCTGCCGAGAAGGCCGCCCTCCTCGGCACTGTACCAGTGGAATTCGATGGTGTTCTCCGACTTGCCCTTGAGGACGTCCTTGACGCCGAGGAAGACGCGGAAGACCTCGAGGATGGTCATGGAGCCACTGCCATCGTCGTCGGCGCCGGGCGCAGCGAGAATACTGGGCAGGAAGAGGTTGATGGAGTCTTGGTGCGCGCCGATGACAACGGTGCTGTTGGTCTTGCCGGGGATGGTGGCGATGATGGAGC